AATAGTATAATAATTGGAATTAATTGGAGTTAAGAATTCTCAAAATTTTGTAAGTATTAAGTAAAGGGATCAAGAAAAGTGAGGAGCGTTATAACAATTAAATTATTATAAATGATAATAAAAAAATTAAAATATTTTTAATAAATTAATGTAAAAAATTTTATTAAAAATATTTAAACAATCATAAAATTTTTAAAATTTAAAATGTCAAAATATCCATTTTTTTTTATAAAGAATTTACTAAGATTTCTTAAATGACCTGATGATAAACTTGGAAGTTGGAAGTATTGGAGTTGTTTCCAGCCATTTTTTCCACGGTCTTTTTATAATAAAGCATGTGATTTGGGTTGCACGTAGTCTTGTTTCGGTCTATGAATTAAACTTTTGGGCCTGCTGTGCTGAGCATGAATTTGGGCTCAGCAGTTATGTTCGGCACATGGAAAAACTCTAATGGCCAGGCCAACGAGGGGTTGGATCAAGTGGTAAACGGTTTGTTCCAGCTTAAATAAGGTTTCGAATTCGAGACTTTGTGTATGCAGTAGCCTTTGTTTGGAGACTCACCCATCATTTTCAGGTGCACGACACAGGTCAATCCAAATTAGTCGGGGCGAAGTCTCGGCATATCGAGCGAGAAACCAAAAAAACCTCTAACGGCTAATACGAATCTTTCCCCATGTCAAAACTTATACCAACGGGATCAGCACTAAAATCAACATTTAACTTTTTACCTTAAAAAATTAATAAATTTTAACTTTTAATCTTATAATATAATATTTTTAACTCTTTTATCTTACAAAATTGATAAGTTTTAACTCCTCATCTTATAAAGTTGGTAAGTTTCAGTCCCTCACATTATAGTATAATACTTTTAACCCCTTATCTGTACAAATTGAAGAAAATAGTTCGTATTTAACATCATGTTTTAATGTTCTATTAGTTCTATTAGTTCTATTAGCTGACTATCGGTTTTATTAACTGACTGTTAGTTTTGTTAGTTGACTGTCAGTATCCGTTAGCATTCCATTAATGAAATTAACAAATAAAATTGAATTTAAATTTCATATTTTTTTAACGGAATGCTAAAAAATGTTAACAGTTAACTAACAGAATTAATAAAACGTTATAACCTAATGTTATGTGAGGGTTATTTTTTTTTAATTCGTATCGGTGATGGATTAAAAATATTATAATATAAGGTAAAAGATTATAACCTACCAACTTTGTAAGGTGAGGGGTTAAAACTTACCAACTTTGTAAAATAAGGATTAAACTATCATGTTATAAGGTAAGAGATTAAAATCTATCAATTTTGTAAGGTGAGAAGTTAAATATTAATTTTTGCCCGGGATCGAGGACTCAAAACTCATACCAGAAATCTATTATTTTTTAACTTCAAGATGCTGATGTTGGAGAAGTGGAGATTATATTATGCAAGGCCATTATGGAATTTAGAAAATGGAAATAAGTAGAAATTCTTAGTTGTGTGGATTGATAACTTTGAATTCATTTTCTGATTTCTTAGTCTTGTTTAAAGAATCTATTTTTTGGACCAAAAAAAGAAAAAATCTAACTTCGTTTCCTTATTAGATGACATTAGGGGTCCTTCATATTTTGTATTTTTATGGTGATATGAGTTGCAGTTTGATTACTAAATTTTAGACAAATAATTCTTTTATTGTTTCAGTTTTTTATTCTTCCTGCCTGCCAATTGCTTCGAGCAATTTTTTTCTTTTTTCTTTTTTATTCAAATTTAATGACTTTATATAATATATTGTAAGAGATTACTCTTATATCTCAAAATAATTTTTTTATTTTGAATTTTTTAAAATTAATTATTATTTTTATATTTTAAGAAAGAAAAATATTTTTTTTTTACTTTAACCTTATGATTATTTATTTACTTTGATTAATTACATCACAAGAAATTTGACTATATCTTTTAAATTTTTTTAAAGGATGATATAGCTTAATATATAAATTGTCTATAAATTCTTAATTTGAAAAAAAAAATTAAAATACATGGTTCTTTTGGGATAGAGGAAGTAGTGTTTAGCAACCAGATATATTAAAAAATTAAACAAAAAAAATTCAAAATTATGTCATTTCAATAAATTATTAAGAGAAAATATTAAAATAACCTTATTTGTGCATTAAAAAGTAAGATATTTTAGTTTTCTTCAACGAACCGTTATTTAAATTATTTTTTCATCTAATTTTTTACATATACAGTGGATAAATATTTTTTCCATAAATATAATCTAACAAAAAATAATTGACCCTTTTTGATTTCCAAAATTTGCAAGGAAGATAACATCCATTAGGCTAAAGAGAAATGCTAGCTGCACTCGCCTTTCTCCAGCACTCTCCAACACTCTCTCATTGAAAATGTCCACGTAACAAACTTTGGCTCTCAATTCAAAGTTTCCAACTAGAAAAGTTCACGTGGCTATTTTAGATGAAGGAGTGTTGGAGAGTGCTGGAGAAAGGCGAGTGCAGCTAGCATTCCTCTTAGACTAAAATACCACCCTAGGCCCGAATTTTTTAAACCCATCTGTCATCCAATTTAGGTCCATGCTTCAAAGAAATAGAATTGGGCATTTTTCCTGCGGCCCAATCATTTTGCTAAAGCCCAAACCATATTTG